TCGAATTAAACTATCGTGTTTACATGAATGTCTCTAGATCTTTGCATACAAACATACATACCAGCGCCCTAGTGAATCCGCTATAAGGGGTTTACCTGTATTTTTATTCAATTTATATAATAGAAATAATTAATCGTAGATGAAAAGGTAGAAATAAAAGATTCTCTCATTACTACAAAATTCTAGGTATATTGGAACAATGCAAATAATTGAAAAAAATCGTGTACTTTCTTACGAAAGAGTAGTCATTTCAAACTCAATTATTAGGGTTAAAAATTAAAAAAAAAAACATATACCGTAATTACGTTACAGTATTCTATAGTCAACTTATTAACGCCAGAAACACCGCCGAATTTAAGAACAGTTGAAAATAAAAGATAAAACTATTTCAAGTCTACTTCTCGTAATTGCGGGATACTCACGGAATTACGTTCACTGGTTCAGTTGTGTGAACCTAATTGCCGGAGTCATGAAATTGACAATTTATTGACAAATATATGCTCGATTTAACTATAAAACTAATCTCTTATTATTACTGATTAAAAATTTCACACATTTGAATCGATTAAGCTTATCGAAATCGAATAAAAACCTTAAGCAATGGAACCGTCACATAACCTAACTCGCTAACAAGCAAGTACGAAATGGCAATCGGGTTACGACCGATGCTTTCAAAAGCTTTTTACGGCTTTAAAAAGTAATATTTAAATTCGAAAATCGTACTATTTTATTAGGATTCAAATTATAATTGATGTGCTATCGAATAAAATTATTATTTATTGACCGTTTTCTTATTTTGCGATCAAAATGAGAAACTCCCGTAATAATGTACTATCCCGGAATAGTGTACATTTACCTTAATCAAATTTGAATGTCTTTTTTTCAGATCGTAGAACATCAGCTTGCTACTTGAATTACGTTCCTGCTCTGGATAAATGTAGTGACATCATGTCTCAAGATGTGACCAAGGCTTCCTGCTGTTGTTCTGTTGGAAGAGCGTGGGGCAATTATTGTGAGCAGTGTCCACATCCAGGTATTTAACGTTTAGTAACACATTTGTGTTTAATAATCATATCGTATATATAAAATTCTTCTGTAATGATGTATGAAAAGATACTCCTCCTAAACGATTAGTCGGATTTTGATAAATCTTTCTGCTGCAGTTTGTTAAGGGAATTTTTTAGGATTTTGTGGTTATGAAATATAGTTAGATTGTAGAAATAAGTGGAAAAAATTACAAAAAATGAAAATATTTGAGACATTATTTGGCATTGAAAACAAATGAAAACTGTGCCAAAAATTTCAGTTTACTTATAATATTACTTAAACAATATCAGTATATCTGCATATATATAAAAATAAGTCGGGTTTTTCTTCCTGACGATATAAGCCCAGAACGCACGAACCGATTTCGACAATTTTGCATTCGCTGGAAAGGTCTCAGGCTCAAGGTTTATAGCTAAGACCATTAATGGTGCATGGCATCGTGCCTTAATGCAAATTCCTGGAACTTCACGCACCGTAATTAAAAATTCGAGTAATGACATTAGTGAGAATTATCAGAATTATGTTTGGTTCAGTCAACGAGTAATTCTTGACGCAAAGAATAATGATATACACGCACTGAATTTCACCATTCAATCAAAAATTGCTGGCGATTTGGTGACATACCAATGATTCCGACTGGTCTTTCGTTTGACTTCAAACGATTGCAATTTCCAGTTCACCTTGCGTTTGCAATGACAACTAACAAGTCCCAAGGTCAATCGCTTTAGTGTTTGCGGGATAAATTTTTAATAGATTTTTTAGAAAATCAATGTTTTTCACATGGGCAGTTATACGTTGCCTGTTCACAAGTTGGAAAACCATCCGCTTTGTTTGTGTTAACGTCAGACCAAAAAACAAAAAATGTGGTTTACCAAAGAGCACTTCAATGAAACGGATAATTTGCGGATTCACTTTCATTTACTTAGAGAAGTTCAACTAAAAAGCACTTCATTTTTGTAATTGAAATAAATTCATTACTGTTGTGTAATAAAATCAAATTTTTCCTTTTCAAATATAAAACAAACAAAAAATTTCTTCATCTTTCTCACGAAACTATCTGGTGGCAAAACGGAGTTCGTCGGGTTTGCTAGTTGTTTTATATAAAAGGAGTTTGTTTTCATAGCACATATTTGAACTCCTGCCAATTAGCCAATACAACTCTTTGAACTTCTTCTCTATCTGTTTTCTTTTCATTTTGATGTGCGTTGACCAGCTTAACTTTCTATCGAGATGAATCCCAAGGTATTTTACACTCTCATATTTCGGTATTTCTATGTTGTTTATTTTTACGCTTGGAGAAATAAATTTGTTCTATAAATTGTAGTGTATAATTTTATTTTATTGAACATATTTTAATATTTGTTTGTTTGATGGTTTTACGTGGCTGATTTGAATTTCACAGTATAATTAAAGAGTTAAGTGTGGATTCTGAGACTCTTCATTTTATTTAAAGCAGTTGTACATTTAAGATCACCCATATGGATGTATATATCAGTATATGTTAATAAAAAAATTAGAACTTTTGAATTCGGGTCTGTCGGGCCATCTAGTATATATATATATATATATATATATATATATATATATATTAATTGTTTAATATGAACAAAACAGCACTCAGATTTTTTTATCACAACTTTATTTTATTATTACAAACGTTTCGAGACTAGGTGTGCCTCATCATCAGTGTAATTTCAATAACAGTTATTTATTACTAAACATTCTTTTTAATATTTTATTTAAAACTAAATTTGGACTTTTTAATATAAGACATCAACTATACCTTGCATTGGCAAGTGACAATTGTTTTAATCAATGCTTGACACGGTACTGACTGACATGTGACATTTACAGAATTATTTGAAACAAAACTGAAGTATCTAACGGAGACAGGATGGGTAACATTAAAATGTAAACAAAGGAAGGCGCTCGCATACAAAAATCGATAAATATAAAAAAAAAAACAGATTAATTTATTGAAAAGAATAAGATAAATGAAAAAATTATAAATTATTAATGATGTTTATATAAGTGTCATGTAAAATCTTATATAAACTTATATAAACTTATATGAAAAACTTATATATACTTATAACTGAGTCAGTCGAGTTTGGTTGCTCGGTATGGGCGTGTTTCTCGCTTCACAATGATGCATTTCATAACTTTTAGTCAAATTAGTTTTCAAATCTTTTAGTTATTCATAATTTTTTCTAAAAAAATGTTTTTATCTAATATGTTATTAAGTTAATTTTTTAAAATAAATT